TCCGGAACTTAGGGGTACCTTATTCTAGGGTCCTTATGCCTTATACTAAGGATCCTACTATTTAGGGTACTATGTTAGGGACCCCTATTTTCAGAAACCCCCACATGGTAGCCGACAACAGCTGACCCTCATGAGGTTTTAAGGGGTTTAGGGTGTGGGGCCTAGCGTTTATCCCCAAACCCTAAACCCCTAAATCCCTAAATCCTAAATCCTTAAACCCCTAAACCGCGAAACCCCTAAACCCCTAAACCCCTAAACCCCTAAACCCTCCCAAAACCCCTGAACCCAGTAGAGAAGTGTGCTTGAGGTGACCCTCTATCACCTGGACCTGAGCTACAACAACCTGGGGGCTGCCAGCTGCCAGGTCCCGGCCTTGGCCCTGGCGTTTTTGTTGGGTTTAGGGTTCTGGGGTTTAGGGTTTAGGATTTTGGGTTCTGGGGTTTAGGGTTTAGGGTTCTGGGTTTTTTGGGTTTAGGGCCCTCGCTTGGAGGGGTCCTTTATTAAAGGGTTCCCTTCAAGGGATCCTTGAAGGGATCTATAAGGGCTTATGGGACTTGGTAAGCATGGTCATAAGTACCTTAATTGGGGGTTATAAGCAAATATAGGTATAGTTACCCTAATTATAATAACCTTAGTTATGAAGTCCCATGATCCTTCAAGCAAGGGCGAAGCTTCAACCGGGAGCCCCAACCACATTTTAAGGAGGATCGAAGGACTTAGTAGGTAGGGTAGTATTTTAGCACCTGAAAATGGGGGGCTTATAGGTAAAATGTAGTGTTCATAACCGCAGTTACTATGTCTCATGATCCTCCAAGTACCCGAAGTGCTTTGAAACTGACGAGGTCATTGCGCAGGGCCTGCGTGACAATCATCACCTCTATGGGCTGCACATTGTTGGGAATGCCGCCACCATCGATGCCGATGGCCTCCTGGCAAAGTTGAGAGTTGCACTAAACGAGAGCAGCCAGATAGAGCCAGGGCTGTTTGTGTCCACGGCCTTGTATCAATTTGTCAGGATTCTCAGGGCTCGAAAAGCAGGACGAACGAGGCAGAGCGAACGAGCCACTCAGAGGTATGTGAGGGAAAAAGGCGCCTTGTCTTGAGCATGTCAACGAAAGATGTGTGCTTTGGTCTCTGCCACGGCAAGCCGTACTGTGACGAGCGGGGAGTACCGTAGCAGCCGTAGCACCAGTATTTCTGGCCTTTGACAGGGGAGTAACCATATCACTCAAAAAACTCAACACCCCTGAATTCAGCACTAAGAATCTTGGTGCCTTTGTAACGGATAGGGAGCCTACAACTTGCCTTATGAAGGCCGTTTCAAAGCCTTTCTTTGTTAAGGGGCCCCCATGGTTCGGTGTAGATTACATTTAGTCTCCATTGTAGTTCCTAACTCGGGTTACCGCTAAGAACCCCATAAATTTTCATAAATATAGAACTGGTTTTCCACAAAAAAGGAACTACAGTGGACAGGGTAGGTGGTAGGGGGCCTTACTAGTACCCAATAAAGGGGCCGGCCTTGATATTGCCTAGTAATAAAGGGGCCTTAATATTGCCTAATAATAAAGGGGCCTGAAGATTGCCTAATAATAAAGGGGCCTTAATATTTGCCTAATATAGGGGGCCTTCATTGGGATTTTCGGCTTTCGGGATCTGCTACATAAAGTCTCCATTGCAGTTCCTTTCTGGGTTACCGCCTAGAACCCCATAAATGTAGAACTGGCTTTCCCAAAAAAGGGCACTGCGGTGGACAGGATGGGCGGTGGGGGGCCTTGGTAGTACCTTATAAAGGGGCCTTCATATTGGCCTAAGATAGGGGGCCTGAATATTACCTAATATAAGGGGCCTTAAATATTACCTGATATAGGGGGCCTGAGTTGGCATTTTAGGCTTTCGGGATCTGCAAGAGTTTGCCGAGGTTTCGTGAGCCCCAACCACGAGGCGGTACCAACGCAAAGGATGACTCTCGGAGGGCACTGGACGTAGTACCCATAATAGGGAATATACATGAATATACCCATAATTGCCATAGTTTAGGGTCCGTAATAAGGTAATGCAGGATTTATATCTTCTGCGCGTACGGTTGATGATGTAAATCCCTTGACCCTCAAAGGCATTTGTTAAAGGCGTTTTGGGCCCAAAGACCCTATTAGGTAAGGCTTTTGGGCTAGTTTAGGGTCCTTAAGACAATGCAGGATTTATATCCTGAACAGTATCTTCGGAGGCTGTAGGGCACAATACGGAGCAGTTTCAGGGGTTTAGAGCTTTAGGGTTTTGGGGCTCAGGAGTTAGGAAGGACCATGTCTGGGACATTTTCAGGTGGGTAGTTGCCGCTATAGGAGCCTTATGGAAGGCCCATACACCTTATAGAAGCCTTATAGAAGCCCTATATACCCTCAACTCCCCACCTGTGGTTTCCCTCGACCATGGAACTGTGTAAGTCGGGCTCCATCTTATCGGACCTTTAAAGTAGCCCACCCTTAGTAGGGTTTTTACAGGCTTTGCATTCGAACAGAGGTTTCTTAATCGAGATTCTTATCATAGTTCAGGCATCCTGAGTTGGGGGGTTTTGAGCGTTTCTGCGTATGGCGACTCGGGCACCCGATCCAGTGCTGAGCCTGATTCATCTTGAATACCAGCAGATCATGTATTTGAGGGGCCTTAAGTGGGCTAGGATAGGCTTGGTGATTCGGGAGCAACGGACATGATAGTAGACTTACTTATATTACAGAGCACTATACTATACTATAGTACAGTACACAAAACTCTAGCATACTATACTATACTATACTATACTATACTACACTACTCTATACTATACTATATTTTACTATACTAGAATATACTGGAATATACCAGACTATACTATACTGGGTTACGGCGTCACAGCAGTGGATCCAGGATGCCCTCGCCACGTGGACGCGGGGCGCAGCCGCAGCTCTTCGGCGAGCTTCGACAGGCGGGGTCAAGCCATGGTTTAGTATGGTACAGTATGGTCTAGTTCAGTACAGTATAGTGGAGTTTAGTATATTATGGTATATTATGGTAGAATAATGGTGTATTATGGTATAAAAAGGTGTATAGTATATTTATAGTATACTTATAGGTATACTTATAGTATATTTATAGTATATTTATAGCATACTTCGGCACATGGCTTCAAGTCCCGAGAAGAAATCATCGTCTCCGACTCGCAGCAGATGATTCTCCCCAGCTCGTCCCGGCCCTGGGCCAGAAGAGCACCCCCAAAGCAGTAGCTTTAGGGTTTAGGGGCTTTAGGGCTTTAGGGTTTAGGGTAGTGGGGTTGTAGGGGGTTTAGGGGTTAGGGTTTTAAGGGTTTAGGGGTTTAGGGTTTAGGGGTTTAGGGGTTTGGGAGTGTAGGGTTTAGGAGTGTAGGATATCCTTCTGTGTCCGGCAGGGGAACGAGGATCGACTTGGTGCCTCTGCCAGGCCCAGCACAGCGGATGCCCCTCGACAACATCTAAGACTTGCCCTCGCTTCTCAGGGGTTTAGGGGTTTGGGTTTTAGGGTTAAGGGTTTAGGGGTTTAGGGGTTTAGGGGTTCAGGGTTTAGGGGTTGTGCAACATCGGGATCGGAGTGGAGCCATACTCGGAGAGTTGGCTTAATATGAAGCCAACTACTCTAAAGTAGCTTGAAGTCGCCATTTGTACAACATCGGAAATTTCGGGTTCAGGAAGGAGACGTCGAGTATGCATGCATACCCGAGGCACAAGGACAGCAGGACGTGGGGACGTGCGTTTGGTCGGACGAGGACGTGGCCACCTCAGGACCTTGTGATTCAGTGCCTGGAATGCTTTCGTGTGCGGCGTGTGCGCCTTGTGACAGCATGGAAACATGTTGAGCCTCGGCTACAAGGGTGCATTGCCAGTCGATTGCACTGGATCTGCTTTGAGCAGGCAAAGGACGGTTCTTTCTGCGTGCATACTGTATCAGGCAATCTGCACCCTGTGAAAGCATGACAGAAGTGCGCAGTACCTCATGCTAGGCAGGCTTAACAACAAAAGTTCGTGTCCAGCTGCTACCCATTCCACTTCCCCTGTTGTCAAATGGGGGGGTGGGGGTCCGAAAATAGGGGACCCGAAAAAAACTCAAAATAATGGGATCCTTATTACAAGGAGTCCACAATAAGGTACCCCTTAGTTTCGGAAACTCCCAAAAAAGCCTCTTGATATTTTGGTTTTCTCGAGATGAGGTGCTACGTGAGCGTGATGTTCTGGAGCAGCAAACGACATGCTGGGCCTGCGAAGGCTGGTGGGACGGCAGGTGAAAGTAGATATCCGTATAACACATCCTGTCACATCCTACTGTTGATGATATAAGTCCTGCATTACATACCTTTAAGGACCCCAAACTATGGGAGTTATGGTATATTTCTTATTATGGGTAATGCAGGATTTCTATCATCAACCCTAGTGTGTGCTCTTGGCATTCGTTAGCAAACAGTGCGGTTCTTCGAAATCACGAAACGATCCATCATTGGATCTTGTATCATGTCCCTGTAGCCTCCAAGCGCCAGGCTTGAGGTGGTGAGGCTGCCCGGACCATATATCTATCAGCCTTAGTCGCATTAATTTCTGTCAACATCTTCGTTTTGTGTTTAGATTTCTATTACGTACGATCTTGGATTGAAAAAATGGTGCTTGGTCCAGCTGGGGGTATTTGGAAAGGTCGCCGTCAGGAGCCGTAAGACTTCGGTCTGCGAACTCCATAGAAGCTTCAACTCGTATAAAGCGCTAAACCCCTACACCCAAACCAAACATTACAAGACCCGAAAGCCCATAAGTTATGGTAACTTGCATGCACCTGAAGAACCTTAAGTTCTGGTAAACGTTGACTTAACATCAAAGCCCTTATAGCAGCACCCTTTAAGGCTTGTAAGAAACCTGCAACTTATGGTAAGTTGAACAGGGTTCCTTAACAAACAAGTCCCATGCCTCAGCTGCTTTCTTACAGGTTGGGAGCGACATGAGCTGGTTTGGATGCCGGCAGAAGGGGAGCAGATTCCAAAGGCCCATGGGTTAGGGTTTAGGGTTCAGAGTTTAGGGTTTAGGGTATCTTCCTCTGAAATGGGGTCTAAAAAGGGTCTGCGGGCTTTCGAAGGGGGCCTGAAGAATTACCAACATCGGGGGTAGTCCTCTACATGAGTGCCCTTTTTTTTTATACGGGTGCCATATCATATTGGGACCCTAGTTTGGAGAACTACCCCACTGGACCTTAGGCTAGACTTAGTCTCATGAAACTCTCAACATAGTCCAATACTACACGTGAAAACACCCTGGGCAGCCTAAGGTGTATTCCTGCACTGAAGAGAGTGGGGCTTTGCGGGAACCGGGGTATCCCACGGTCTTCGAAACTCGGGACGGCTTCTTTTGTCATGGTACAGTACTCGACACCTCGGTGTGGTGTGATCAGTACCTGTGGCCCAAAAAAGACCTACCTTTTGGAGGAACTAGATATAGAAACCAGGATCAGGAACCCTAGAGAGGTAGGTCTTTTCGGCTACAGGTAGCTAGGAGAGACAGGCCCGGAAGTGCTCCCCCCCAACAATCCGTGCGGCTTTACATGCCCGAGCTGCATCCAGCCTTTCGCCTAAACCCTAAAGGCCAAAAACCCCAAAGGCCCAAAAAGCCCCAAAAAGCCCAAAATGCAGAGGCCGTCTGGGCCTTCACGTCCATTGACGGCTTCCGTGCCGGCTTGAGATTGAAAGAGGAGAAGAACGGCCCCTGAAGCTGCGATTTAAGGTTTAGGGGTTTAGGGTTCAGGGGTTTAGGGGTTTTCGGGGTTTAGGAGTTTAGGGGTTTAGGAATTATCCCCCAACGATTGCTGGACTTGGACTTGCAAATCTTGCAGGGGTCCTTGATCTTTCACTGGGCCCTAAACCCTAAACCCTACCCATAGGCTCCATGGTAGTTCCTTTTTGTGGTTCATATTTAGGATCCTATAAGCTAATCCCAAAAAGGAACTACAATGGAGCCCGTAGGTGAACCCTAAACCGTGATGGTTCAGCTGCAGCGCAAGACCAGCGAAGGATCGAAGAACAGAGGCTTCAGTACAGCTCAAGTCAGGGCTGTGAGGGTTTGTAACATAGCAGAATCAATACTAATAATTCCCTCGACCTTGTTCTAGCTGTACTGTAGAATCCCCAAAACCGTTAAAGGTTATGAATGCGTTGAGGGCTTTGGGGTTCGTGTCAGAGCATCGGCTATGAATCCGGTGCTTTTCGGACTGCATGCCATGTCCCGTTGTGTGCCAGCCGCCTACCGTAGGGTTTAGGGTCGGGTGTTTACCAACACTGTCCCTTGTGCTTCCTTCTCATACTTCTGTTTTCATCAACCCCAAAACCCTGTCCTAATATATAAGGCCCTTCTATATTCATCATAATAGCCCTTTAGCTGCGGAAATTTCGGAGTGACCTCTGAAGAAGCGCATTTATCCAGTTTCCTTGCCGATTGGTCACTGGAGAGCCCTGGAAAAACAAGGCCTAACCTATACCTTTACACCGTAGAACCTCTAACTTCCTGGTTCTTAGTAGGGAATGGGGGAATGGATCCCTATGATAGTCACATAAGATCCCCTATAGTAGTCCCAATAACCCATTCCCCCATTCCCTACTAAGAACCAGTCAGCTAAGCCCAGGAGAGCGGCAGACCGGAAACCGGTTCGTGGCCGCCCGGATGATTCCCAGAAGCTGCAGAGTGCTGGTCATTTTCCAGGCGGGTAGTGCCATGGGTTAAACCCTAAACCCTGAAACCCTGAAACCCTGAAGCCCTACACTCTACACCCTGAAACCCTGAAACCCTAAACCCTGAAGCCCTACACCCTGAAACCCTGAAACCCTAAGCCCTGAAACCCTGAAACCCTCTTCTGCACCAAACAGCTGAGTCTTCAGCCTGGTCTGGCTTTCCAAAGATCCTGAACCCCCCCCAGAGACTCCTAAACTGGCCCTCTAAACCCTAAACCCTCGTACAAAACCTACACCCCAAACCCCAAACCCTTCGAACTTCGAACCCTTAGTTACTGACAATGCAAAACCCTGTCTGACACAAACCCAAAACCCTAAACCCTAAACCACCAACCCTAAACCCTCAACCCTAAACCCTATAAACCCTAAACCCCAAAATCCCCGTAAAGGTGGACAGCGCTCTGAGACTTCCTGCCGGGTGTGAGATCGAAGACCTCGCCACGCCCATCGAGATTGAGCTCCGTGCCTGCGAGGACTCCTTGACACCCACAGACTCCAAGATCCCCTTAAATTAAGAAATATCAGGGCTTTAGGGGTTTTATAGGGTTTTATAGGGTGTTAGAAGGTTTTATAGCTTTAGAGACTCCAATATCCCCTTAAGTCAGGAATAGATACTTTAAGTTATAGTGGGATCCCTAATCTGATTTAAGGTATATTCCTTAGTTAAGGGAATCTTGGAGTCTCTGAGAAACCCGAAAGAGTCTCAAGGGTGTAGGGAGAGAGGACTCTTTGCAGTTTCAAAACCCTAAAGAACCCCGAAAGGGCCTTGCGAAGAGGGCTTTGGTCAAACAGAAAACACTCCTTGAAGCCGAAACTCCCGAAAGCCTAAACCCCAAACCGCTACAAAAGTCCTAAAGGTCCGAAAGGCTCTGGCCTGTCGGTTGTTCCCTAAACCCCTAAACCCCTAAGCCCTAAACCCCTAAACCCTAATACCCTAAACCCCTAAACCCCTAAAGCCCCTAAAACCTAAACCCCTAACCTCCTATAGGCTACTTTGTGATGGGGAAGACCTAAACCTTCGATTAGGGCTTTAGGGCTTCAGGGTTTTAGGGTTTCGGGGTTTGGGGTTTAGGGCTTTAGGGTTTTAGGGTTTAGGGTTTAGGGCTTTCGGGTTTTAGGGTTTCGGGGTTTCGGGTTTAGGGTGTGAGTGTTTTTTGAGGGGACGGGGAAGCACTGTTACGGGCTCATGGAATGCTCCCGCTTCGCAAGGAGCTTCCGATCCTGGCCCCGCCTCCGGCTCAGGACGGCTTTGAATATGTTATGCGGTTATACGGTTGATGATATAAATCCTGCATAACCCTAAAGACCGTAACCTACCGGAATTATGGTAGGTTCCTTGTTATGGGTCATGCAGGGTTTTTTGTCATCAACCGTATGATATAGTGTATTACAGTACATGATAGTATATGATGTATGAAGTGCCGCATGGGTAGTGCTCTAAATTAGGGTCCCTGTCTGGATCCTTTGTTAGAAGGGTGCCGTACCATATTGGGGGCCTAAAGAGGGACCCTAATGTAGAGAATTACCCATAATAAAATTAAGATGTACCTTAACCCCGAATAACCGGCGTTTTTAAGGATTCCTATACGGAAATCATAATGAGGAACCCTCGGTGGGTTCTTTAGGGTCCAGGTATGGTCTATGATGCAGCACAATTTTTAGTATAATATACCCCCAAAACCCTGTTCTAAAAATTCTTAAGGCCACCAGATTATGTAATTATTAAATAGTTTACACCCTATTCTAAATTCTCAAGGCCCCTTGCCACTTTGCTTCTCATCGGAAGCTGCCTTCCGCAAGGCCCAAGCCTTGCGTCGAAATACGAGATATCTAAAAAAGGGGGCCTTAAGAATTTACAATAGGGTTTATACTATAGTAATTACATAATCTAGGGGCCTTAAGAATTTAGAATAGCGTTTTGGGGGGTATAATTAAGGAACCCCTCGAAACCCTATTCTAACTGTTAAGGCCCCTACATCATCCAAAACAACCCTTGGCGAAGGAACGGAATGACGGTAACGTAGGGGTCGGAATATTGATTCATTTTCGTCCGCATGGTTCCGAATTCCAAGTAGAGTATAGGACCCCAAAACCCTAGTCTAATACACTCAACCCTAAACCCTAAACCCTAGACCCAAACCCAAAACCCTAAACACTAAGACGCCTCGATGAATGCTCTTGAGCGACACGCTCCAGAAAGACAATCCGTGAGACCCCTCGGAGACTTCGGGTTTAGGGCTTTGGGTTTAGGGTTTAGGGTTTTATAGGGTTTAGGGTTTAGGGCTTTGGGTTTAGGGCTTAGGGTTTTATAGGGTTTAGGGTTTAGGGCTTTGGGTTTAGGTTTTAGGGTTTAGACTTTCCTTGAGGAGGTGGTGGTCCAAGAGAGCCGGCACGTGGGCAAAGCCTTGGAGCATCGACTTGTGCTGAGGACGATCACTGTGTCAGGTGGTGGTCATTTGAGAAAAATATATGCATGTGTGTGTTAGAGCATGTATGTACGTGTATATACATATGCATATATATATATTGTATTTATGTATATTTATTTGTTTATACTGATATATATATATATATTTATTTATTTATTTACTTATTTTCCTTTATTTATTTAGTGATATACATATATGTATATATATATATAATATATACATATATATATATCCAGAAGGCACGAAGGTGTCAAGACATGTGAAGAATGTTGCTCATTATTCAGGGTTTCGATTCCCATAATTGGGCTACCCGAATTATGACGCATAACCTACGCCCATGATCCGTCAAGTAGACCCTAGAGCTTGGCACTACGAGCCCACAGCGCTCAACCCCCTGCAAAAACGCAAGCCCTAAACAGGCTCTACGTTAGCCCCTGCACCCACCCTAACCGGGGTTGCTGTTACTACGGAGTATATATTCAGTAGCTGTAATAAGGAATCCTTAATAGTTACTAAGGTATGTGTATATATATATATAATATATATATATAATATATATATATAATATATATACATACATATATATCCACACATTATGGTATCTTACCTTAAGTTCCTCAAAAGCAACCCGGTAACCTGGTCGTCGTCACAGGACCCGCAGAGCGGCCCTGCTGCGCTCGGCGCTGAGCGCTCGCGGGTCGGGCTGCGCCCAGCGCAGTGTCCTCCTCGATGGCCCGGACGGAACAGGACCAGTCGCCGGACAGACTTGTGGAAAGCTGTTTTTTTGGGTTTAGGGTTTAGGGTTTAGGGGTGGCTGCATATGGGGGGTTTCCGAAGATAGGGGGACAGTAAAAAAAAGTCATCATGTAGTACCCTAAATAGTAGGATCCTTATTCTAAGGACCCTAAATGAGGTACCCCTTATTTTCGGAAAGTCCCGTATGAAGCCCCAACTTACCAAATGGTATGATGTGCGATCTAGGTGATGCTTTTCAATTTGGGGTTTCGGGGTTTAGGGCTTGGAGATATCTCGGGAAACGTTTTGCAGCGCAGCAACCAGCGCATCGTCAAAGTTAGGTCTAGGGATTATGACTGCCCCTTTGCACGGACACAGACTTCTGGATTCTGGAGCTTTGCCTCCCCATTCCAAGGTTCAGATGCCTCGCATCACAGAAACCGAGTTTCGCCACGTGGCTGATCGAGGGTCCAACACCCCAATACATGCCAATACCCCTACACGCCCTCATTAGGGAATATACTTGAAATCAGTCGAACCGGCAGCAGAAGCAGTTTGACGACTCGCCGAGTCAGAAAGTCATGACTTGAGCTCGAGATTCCACCATGCCGCTCGTGACACTTGCATAATGTAGGGGCCTTAATAATTTGGGGGGTTCCTTGTTATAATTTGAGTATAATAAGCCCCCAAACCCTATTCTAAATATCAAGGCCCCTAGATTAGCGCACATAGCAAGACCAGTCGTGACACTTGCAGAGGCCACATAGCAAGACAAGTAGTTTAGTGTTTGGGGTTTAGGGTTTAGGAGCAAGAGAAGTAGAGGATTCATGGAAGTTGTGCGAGTGGGTGGACTCGCGACTGAAGGCTTCTAGGGGCTCAGGTCCTGTTGATCCTGCCCATGCAAGCTGAACTAGCTTCTCAACCATTGCAACTCAAAGCTTCAACAAGCAGGCCCAGAAAGGCATGCAAGAGCGTAGCTGTCCTACATAAACCCTAAACTTCCTGAAACGCTTAAACCCTCAACCCTAAACTGTGTTCTGCCGTGAACTTCAGTGGGTATGACTTTCGATTCCAGGCCCTCCCAAGCCCGCCTTGGAGCAGGAGGGGACCTAGCAAAAATGAGGTTCTCGGTGGCCGAATCGGTTTCGGGTTTAAGATTTAGGGTTTAGGATTTAGGGTTTGGGGTTATAATCGGGGCTGCAAGCAATTATAACTCGATTCGCCATATGTACAACTGCGGCATCTCTCGCCCTAGTCACTAGGCCCCATGACCCTCCGAGTAAGCGGCCTCTCTTGACCTGATACACATACAATATATGGGACTTTCCGAAAATTAGGGTACCTTATATTTTGGGGTCCTTAAAATAAGGATCCTACTATTCAGGGTACCATAGTAGGGTCCCCTATTTTCGGAAACCCCCATCTCATATCATCGTCTAGTACAGTACAGTGTAGTCTGGTAGAGGATGGTAGAGTCTAGTAGACAGTATTGTAGAGTATAGCACAGCGCAATACAGCAGATCATAGAATAGAACATAATATAGTATAATTAGCATGATTTAGTGTAGTTTGGCAGACCCCTGCACCCTAAACCCTAAAACCTAAAACCCTAAACCCTAAACCCTAAAACCCTAAACCCTAAGTGTCGTACATAGAATTGCCTCTCAGGCATGAGAACGAAGCTCCCGCGCGGCCCGGCCTTCTATGCGGCCTTCCGTCGCGAGACTGACAAAGTCGCAGCTTGGCTGGGACTCTTCGTCCGGTTGAGGGTTTCAGGGTTTAGGGGTTTTTGGGTTCAGGGGTTTTTGGGTTTAGGGCTTAGAGTTTCAGGGGTTTTTGGGTTTAGGGCTTAGGGGTTTACGGGTTTAGGGGTTTAGGGTTTAGGGGTTTAGGGCATAGGGTTTCAAGGTTTAGGGGTTTAGAGTTTAGGGTTTCAGGGTTTCAAGGTTTGGGCTTACAAGGTTCTAGGGCCTGGGACTGTGTCGCTTTAACGGTGGCAGGGTCCTTCTGCAGTCAAATCTGTCAGGGGAGTTTGAAACCAAGCCTGGTTTCTTCCAAACCACGGCAGCACCCAGCTAGGTACCCCGTCTAGAACCCCAGAACAACCCCTGTTTTGCAAGTTTTGGAACTCTATAAAGAGCCCTAAACCCCTAAACCCTAAACCCCTAAACCCTAAACCCCTATAAAGCCTAAACCCTATAAACCCTAACCCCCTAAACCCTAAACCCCTAAAGAACCCTAAAGCCCTAAGGAACCCTAAGGAAGCCCTCCGTTGCGTCCTCTTTTGCCAGGTCCAGGAGTGCTTCCTGCTCGACTGGTCCCGGGCCAAAGTCGCCCGGTTGGCGACTTTGGCCTGAAACTCGGGGTTGTAGGGTCATGGTTTTCGGGCTTTAGGACTTTAGGGCTTTAGGGGTTTTCAGGGGTTTAAGAGGTTTTAGGGGTTTAGAGCTTTAGGGCTTCAGGGGTTTCAGGGGTTTAGGGTTTAGGGCTTTAGGGTTTTAGGGTTTAGGGTTTAGGGGTTTAGGGGTTTAGCGGTTTAAGGGTTTAGGGTTGAAGAGCCTCAACCTCGGGTTCCCGGAGACTCCAAGATCCCCTGAATTAAGGGAATAATATACACCTTAAATCTTGTTCGGGTTCCCATTATACTTTAGGGTATCTATTCCTTAATTAAGGGATATTGGAGTCTCTGGGTTAGTCTGAGGCTTCCGATAAGGGTTACTATAATGTTTGGCTTGGAAGGGTTTATAAGTTGAAAAGGGGTCAGTGTCAGGGTGTAGTATAAGTATAACTCTAGCGTTCAGGTGTTCTTAATGAGTTTCAGAAGCCTGAACAGTTCGTAATGATGTTCCTTAGGGTTCCATAGTGTAACCGAATTGTTGCGTCGGAATTTTGGTTAACAAGACTTGAGATGTTGGGTTTGGTTCTGTTCCGGAGTTAACCCAACGTGATGTTTTGCGAGGCAGGTTTTCGAACAGATATCAACGACCGTGTCTTTAGTCGTTGGGGTGTTCTATTGGTAAAATGCTTCGTTGCATGTAGACTGCACGCACATGCCACAGCCCCTGCACCCTGCACATACCTTAAACCCTACATATCACACATAGAACATATACGAACGCGTCTACCCTAACCCGAACCCCTATAAGCCCCGAACTTGAAGAAACACCCTAAATCCCTAGGCCTAAAACCTGAAAAACTTAGAGCCTACAACTGCCCGAAGCTTTAACTTAGCCAAAGGGAGAACTTTAAACTTTTTGGCCTTATATATTAGGTCTTTGAACTTCTTTGGGCCTGGTTGAAGAAGTGCTTTAGCAACAGGTGAGCAAAGATCCGGACCGGCAAGACACGCAGCAGCCCCTGGGCCTGTCTGAGAGTGAGGACAGGGTGAAGTCAAGTGTCGGGGGGCTTGCGCACGGGCTCAAAGGTCAGAGGATTCCGCCACTAAAGTAATTAATTAAATCGAAATCCCTAAACCCTAAACCTTATGGATCCAGAAAGACCCCACTACACCTTAAATTATAAAGAAACCTTATAGATCCTCAACCCTATGCCCTATATACCTTGCATCGTACCAAATTTTTCGGGGCCCCGACCCTCGGCTTGCGAGGCAAAGGCGCCTGTACTTCTGCTGACTCTGGGACCCTCTTGTCAAACACTGGGGTTTGGGGATATCAGGGTTTCAGGGTTTAGGGTTTAGGGTTTAGGGATTTGGGGCTGGTGGTTTAGGGCTTTGGGTTTCGGGTTTTAGGGTTCAGGGTTTTAGGGTTTCTACATGGGTAGGTCTCTAAAGTAGGGTCCCCTTTTGTTGGGGGGGGGGGGGTTCCTTAAAAGGGATCTATAGGGGTTTCCATAACGGGGTACAATAAGGGTACTATAATTGTAGTTCTCTAAATTAGGGTCCTTTTTGGGTCCCCAACATAGTACGGCACCCTTATAAAAAAAGGACCCTAAACGGGACCCTAATTTAGACAACTACAAACATGAAGAAAGGGATATTGGAAGGTCTGGGTACCTTGCATCTTTGGCCAAATTCCAACCGCCTTGCTTCAAACGCTACATGAAGCGGTACTTTGCTTAGAATTCAGAATGCTCCTGCCTTCCCGGACATTTGTGTTGCTCCGCTAACTCTTCTTTTAGTGCCACTCGCAAGGCGAGTCTCAAAAGCACACCCAGCCGACCGTCAATTCCGGAGTTCGGATTTCCGGAAAAGAAGGGACTTTGGTGCCCAAGTTCCATTGACTCGAATCGTAGTAGGGACCCCTAAAAAATGGAACCCTTAAAAATGGAGGGATATTGGAGTTCCCGTAGGGCCACCACGGCTAGGTTGCTTGCGTCGAACTACCGGAAACTGGTTGCTTTGTACCGCGACCTCTCCTGCGTCGGGACAACTGGGGAGACTGGCTTTGGCGTGACGCAGCTGGAGGCAGGGGAGGCGATGCAGGACGCAGAGCGAGTCTTAACTTTTCGATGAGGTTGTGGTTGTTGTTATCGCTGTTGCGGTTGTCTTTGTTTTGTTTTTTGGTCGTTGTCGTTGTCGTGGTCGTCGTCGTCGTCGTCGTCGTCGTCGTCGTCGTGGTGGTGTTTGTGCGCGTGTTTGTGTGCGCCTTCTTGTTCTTGTTCTTGTTATTGTTCTTGTTGCTGTTGTGGTGATGGTGGTGTGGTGATCGCGGGTGTTGTGATTGGTGTGATTGTCTTGGTTCTTGTGGTTGTTGTTGTGGTGCTGCTGCTGCTGCTGCTGCTGCTGCTGCTCCTCTTGCTACTGTTATTTAAAAACTTGTTATTCTTGTTATTGTTTTTGTTGGCATCGGTGGTGTTGGTGCTGGTGTTGGTTGTAGTGGGGCTGGTGCTGGTGCTGGTGTGGGTTTTGGTTCTGGTTCTGGTTCTGGTTTTGGTTTTGGTGGTGTAGCAGGCCTTCTTGGGGGCAGCATTGCCAACTGAGCATCAGTTTCGAGCAGGGCATGTGCGCTGAGCCCTCAACCCTATACCCTGAAACATGGACTAAGACTAATTTGAAGAATCGTGCCTCGCTAATGTTCTCCAAGTACAGCGATGGCGGGGAATTTGCGAAGTAGAATCAGAACACTACCTGTGGTCCTATTGGTACAGAATGGCCAGACAGAATACACCCCCCGCCACAAAGCTCCATTCTAGAGGTACCATACTAAGATATTGATATGATAGACCCCCTAAGCCCTAAACCCTAAACCCCTAAACCCTAAACCCCAAAAAGCTCTCAAAACAACCACCCAAGAGTCTCGAGAGGCTTCTGCACTGCTTACCCAAGCCGGTCTCGTCGACGACACCACAAGGACGCGGCCGAAGGATCTTCTTGGCAGCGTCGTCTCTGTCGCTCTAGCTCTTCATCTTAGTAGCTGAGTAGATAACCTTTAACCGTTTTGCGCTTATATAATCCTACCATAATTGAAAGGTTGACCTTTTTTAGGATACTCAGCCCCTAAGTCATGAAACTAGCCGCAAGAGGAAGAATGATAGTAAGAATAGCAACAATAGAACCCATGAGTAGTAAACACAGAGTATAGGCATAATGATGTGTTTGTCTTTGTAGCTCTAACTATTTATATAAGAGTCTTAACGATTTTTCTAGGGTTCCTTTACTATGCGCTCTGCAAAGGGTCCTACAAGGATTGCCGTGAGGGTTTCGCCTTCAGTCAGTCAGTCGGTCAGTCAGTCAGCCAGTCAGTCAGTAGTACATGCTTTAGTTACTTTAGTTCGGCAGCACTGGATTAGTAGTTGTGGGTTGAGGGGTGTGGGATTTAGGGCTTAACGGGTTTGGAATATTTGGTGATACTATAGTGCAATCGCAGAATCCAAGGTAGTCGTTGCTGGAGGATACCACTCGCAATTGAGATTACTTCGATCTCTAACTCAACAGCAAGAAGCACGGATTAGTAGCCTTCAACCTTTAGGCTTTGTTGCTTAAAACAGTCCAACGGTGAATTTAAAGGTTAACCTTTTTGGGCTAGGGGTACTCAGCCCCTGAGATATTGAGTGCCCACAATTGGCCAGGGTGTCGGACATAGACCGGTGCTTCATTGCGGCCAAGGCAGGCTCAAAGGGCAGTCGAACTTCTGGGCTCTTGTTAAGAGGCTAAAATTTTAAGCTGCCATAGTAAGGAACGCATAAGATGTATTATAAATCCCTATGGTCGTAACTTAAAATAACTTCCTTAGCAAGAACCCAGACTTTGTGAACTAGGGAGACACGATCTGCGAGGAGGCGCAACATCAGCACTCAACCTTGAGTACTCTTGCAGTTAGTAAAGCCTTGAACGCTGGAGAACCATGGATGCAGAAGGGCATTGTGGGCCCATGTGGGTCCTAAGCGCCTTCCAAGCGTTTCAGACTTGCACCCGAAATGTTTGATGAAAGCTCTGCTGTTCGACCGACGCTCAAAAGGAGCGAAGACAGGGGCTAATGGTAGAACCTGACCAAGATCCACCGATGGTAGAACTTGTTGGTGCATGCACGGCTTCAAAAACACGCTTAGGGAAGCACAAGCGGCCAGAAGAAACCAGCAAGCAAGACAAGGCGTCTCACCCATAAGCGGTCGCGTCCTAGGGGCAAAACGAAGATTTCAGATGCTGCAGACCGTATGTCCTTCGAGCTTTTCTGTTGCCGATTCGGCCACCGCTACCCACTACCATTGATAGTGCTTCCGTGCCATGCCCCTTGTGAGCCCAAAGCCCCTCAACCCCTGGACTAGGTCCACCACCCTCGGCCCTTAATCACGAAGGATATCCACAGTCGCTGACCCGTACTGCACAGCCAGAACGCCAGGACGAGAATCAAGAGAGGGACAAGAAGAACAAGATGAGGGTGCAAGAACAGATGAACGACTGGCCATTGCCCTGTTTTTCTCCTAGTCACCCTAGTCCCGCTTTCGGTGGCAGGTGTTGCCAGTGGACATGCGCAAGGCAGGTGTGCGGCTTGCAAATGACAAGGCAGGGTTCAGACAAAGTCAGCACAGCCATCCATGGAGTATCAATGGTTATCATAGATAGATAGAGATAGATAGATAGATAGATAGATAGATAGACATACCTGCATATATACATACATCATATATGTTATTCCGATAATGCCTCTAACTATATATATATATAACTGTTGAGAAGTCGAGGCCGTGCTTTGCTGTAGCCACATGCAATCCGGAGAAAATTCGCAGCCTCTTTCAAAGTAGCACCACAAGGGAGCTTGACGATTTGGTGTCGGGAGCTAAGCACAAGTTGCGAAGTGCTGGCTTCTCTAAGACAGTGGCGAACTTCCACCATGCCTTTCGCCATCCTCTACCTCAGCCTCTTACTCTTGCCTACCGTTGTGTTTCTTCAGTCTTGGCCGCTCTAACATTTGCGCAGGTCCTCAACCGCCATCAATTTCTGGAGTTGCTGCTGAGAGTGGCCGATCAGCGCTACGTGCAGACAGGCCCTGTGCTCCGTTCCCTCAGTTCTGAAGTTCCATACAGAGATATGTGACTTTCCGAAAATTCGGGGTACCTTATTTTATGGTCCTTATAATAAGGATCCTACTATTTAGGATACTATATTAGGGTCCCCTATTTTCGGAAACCCCCAGATATCTGAAGTTCCATACAGAGATACTTGGTTCCCCAGTAGAACCCTTTTGCCCTTTTATTTGGGGGTCACCTTATTAAAGCCGAGTATCAGGAAAAAGGGTACCCTTATTATTAAGGGGATACTGGGGAACCTAGGATATGTGTGCATGTAATTACTCAGATCTGCATGCATCCGTATCCGGAGATGCAAGCGAGTAAGTGAGCAAGCGAGAAGGTAAGAAAGGATGCATCCATGTATGTATGAACGACGGTATACGTGAAGTTTTGGTTGGATAAGTCGGTCGATCGGTCAACAGATATGTCCGCGGTTCTACACACAAGGAGACTTGTACATTCTACCCGTTGGAGATTGGTTGACATGGGGCGGCATGACTGCAGCATGCCAGTGGTCTACTCTACTCTAGGCCTTAAACTTGGAGCCATTGCAATCACCTCCGTCCTAAATCCCTGCTCCTCAAGCGAAAAAAATCCCGGTTCAGGCCGGGTGAAGAGCGTCTCGGAGGCGCTGTCACAGGTTCTGGAGCCGTTGCTCCCTGCCGCGGCCTTAGTGGCCCTAGCCTTGCAAACTGAGACTGTGCAAACGAACTTCGCGAGCGAGATAAGAAGTATCTCTAGGCGCTGTCGGGCGCTAGACTTTCTGGGCTTTTTGGGTTAAAAAGCAAAGCTCTCATAACTCGGGAGTGCCTATGTTGAAGCATTGAGGTCGGACAGGCCAAGGTGGCCGAAGTGGATGCCATCCTTGACGCTCTTCACACGGAGGAGGCGAACCCTTGCCTTGAGCTTTTCTGCAGGTCTGCAGGCGTTGCTGCTATTTTTGCACATCTTTGGCCAAGGGCTCGTGGTCCTTCAGCAACTTCTGCGGCTATCTCGGCTCATATAGACCCGGCAGCTGTGGTTCTCACTGCGAAGCATCGCAATGCCCTTATCCATCGGTGTTCTGATCTGATCTGGGCCCGTGTTTTGCCTCTTGGATGGCAGGTGAGTGGCGGTCCGAAGTTGACAAGAAACAGTTTTGGGTTTCTGTGCGGAAGCTGAGGCAATGGACCGCTGTTCCCTTCGCTTGTTGTGTGCCTTGGTTTGGGTGTCTATGACAGCTGCGCAGGAGCCGAATGTGACCCGGTGCACGAGCGGCGCGGCTAACATCACCACAGGCATCGCATTCCATGTCCAGGTGTGCAACCTCTTCGGCGGTACTTGCTACATCAACCACCCCGACATCCAAGATTGCGCTACCGAGTCCCTCGAAATCTTGGCTGGGGAGTGCAAGCTGCTTCCTGGCTGCAGGTTCAGCAAGCTGTAGACCTAGAGCCAGTTGAGCCTGCACCCCTTGTGCCTTCCGCGTGTCCGGATGCAAGCGAGGTATCCTATCCGTGAGTATGTTGACAACTGGGTGCGCTCCGGCGCAAGTGCAGTGGAGGAGCTGTCCACCGAAAGGGACTTGGGCTGCAGTGTCTTCATCCAGAACGGGAATGCGCGGCTCTCGGGTGCCTGCGCTGCGGTGCAGTGCTCGCTGGGTGGCGGTGCATGGGCTGGACCCGGCATGACCGGCAGCAGCCCCCCCACGCGAGAGACAGGAGTGACGAATACCGGCACAGCTTCGTGGACCAATTTCACCCTGGTGGAAATCAGCGATGATGCGGAGCAACTCAAGAACGTCTTCCTCTACCGAACCGGCGACTATGTTGCTACCACGCGGCGAACCTATCAGTGGAACACGAACCCCACTCTCAGCATTGGCAAGCTACCGACTTCCAACGGAAACAACTATGGATCCT